CTTCCAAAAGCTGGTTCTCGGCGATTAGTTCAAGTGAAGTTTTCGTTCGAGTCAGTTCTTTCGAGGAGAACTGAACACAGGAAATTGATATTTCAATATAAAGTACTGCTGACTTACGTTGGGAGTTGAGTTGGTGGAAGAAGGATTTTTCAACAGTGAGTTTGAGGTATATTGTGGATGTATTTGTGATGATTTTTTTGTATGTTTTTTTTTCTCTTTTGTCTTTGGGTGTGAGGGAGTTGTTGGGAAATTGATAGATATTTTAGTGGAGAAGGAAGTTGTTAAAAAAAGAGAAATATTTCGTACTTGTGAGTTCAGATGTAGAATATTGTGGTGAAGAAGGAAGTTGTTAAAAAAATATATATATATACATTTTTTATCAAACAGTGGGATTTCAGACGTAAACTATTTCCGCAGAGAAGGAAGCTGTTAAAAAAAAAAAAAATCTTCCTGGTACCTGACTACACACGTAAAACAAAGAGGTACATATGTATCCCCTTGCAGGATGCTCAAACCCGTTTGTCGCGTTAAAATACCAAGACAAATGAGAAACGAACGTAATAAAAAAGAGGAAAAAAATAGACGAAGGTAGACAAATACAATATTTTATTCGTATTCCTTTATTAATTAACATTAGATTTTATTATTGTTATTATTATCATTATTGTTCTTAATTATTTTTCTATAAGACGGTAAACATAAATCCTCAACATTTTGCATTTCAAGCAAATAAAAAAAAAAAAAACATTTATGATAGGTAATTACCAAAAGACTGTCGTGCAGGAGAGAAATCTCATTAAATTAGTGAAACTTTATTTATCAGAGCGTGGCCACAGGTGACTGTAATTAGCGATCCCAACAGGTGTACTGTGCATCTTGATCGAATTTCTTTCGCATTTGGAAAATATCGTTTATTTCTTTGTTACTTGTTTATTATCATTATCGTTGTTGTTATTTTTTGTTATTATTGTGGCTCCTGTTGTAATTACTATTATAATTCATGTTATCATTATTGTTAATGTAATTGATATTGTCATCATCATTATTGTTATTAGATATTATTATTGATAATATTATCATCATCATCATTAAGTTTTAGATTTCGATATGAAACAAAAGTGAAAAAAAATATATATTTTAGACATAGAAATACATACATAGGAAAAACACACGATAATAAACAAGAATAACGATAACAAAATTAACCCTCTCATCAGAACATTGACCAATTATGATAATAACCATCGTTTTAACAAGTTAAATATAATAACCTTCTTGTCAACCCACTAAAGATATTAACAAGCCTGGAAACACCATATAACTAGCGCAACAGCCAACATGATAAGACAATAAGCAATTCTAACAACTAGTCATTAAGACAACAACCATAGTAATGACTAGTCACTATTTAATAACAAATGATAACATTTCTTCATAGACAACCAAATATATTAACGGCCTACGTAAATGCCAACCAAATAATACAAACATTATAGCAACCATGATGACAACCCATTCTAACAGCTGACTAAATATGATTATTCTAACAACCAAGATCACAGTAATTTTAATAACCGAGAAAAACAGCCGTTCTAACAACCAATTGACCAAGATCACAACCATTTTAACAACCGAGTTAACCATTCTAACAAGCAACCAACCAAGATGACCACTTCGACAACTATTGAAACTTCAGCCAAAAAAGACAACCACTCAAACAACTCAAGACAACAGCCCACCATTCTAACAACCCAAGACAACAACCAACTATTCTATCAACAAAGACAACAACCACTCTAACAACCCAAGACAACAAACAACCATTCTATCAACAAAGACAACAGCCCACCATTCTATCAACAAAGACAACCAACCATCCAATCAACAAAGACAACAACCACTCTAACAACCTACAAGACAACAACCAACTATCCTATCAACAAGTACAACAGCCCACCATTCTAACAACCCAAGAAAACAACCAACCACTCTATCAACAAAGACAACAACCCCTCAAACAACCCAAGACAACAACCAACTTTGTTACTTGTTTATTATCATTATCGCTGTTGTTGTTTTTTTTGTTTGTTTGTTTTAAAGTATGTGTGTTTTTTTTTTTTTTTTTTTTTTTTTTTTTTTTTTTTTTTTTTTTTTTTTTTTTTTTTTTTTTTTTTTTTTTTTTTTTTTTTTTTTTTTTTTTTTTTTTTTTTTTTTTTTTTTTTTTTTTTTTTTTTTTAAGTTTGGGTGTGTTTGTGTGCGTTTGGAGGAAGTATGTGCGTGTTTGTGTTTGTTTGTTTTAAAGTATGTGTGTTTTTTTTTTTTTTTTTTTTTTTTTTTTTTTTTTTTTTTTTTTTTTTTTTTTTTTTTTTTTTTTTTTTTTTTTTTTTTTTTTTTTTTTTTTTTTTTTTTTTTTTTTTTTTTTTTTTTTTTTTTTTTTTAAGTTTGGGTGTGTTTGTGTGCGTTTGGAGGAAGTATGTGCGTGTTTGTGTTTGTTTGTTTTAAAGTATGTGTGTTTTTTTTTTTTTTTTTTTTTTTTTTTTTTTTTTTTTTTTTTTTTTTTTTTTTTTTTTTTTTTTTTTTTTTTTTTTTTTTTTTAAGTTTGGGTGTGTTTGTGTGCGTTTGGAGGAAGTATGTGCGTGTTTGTGTTTGTTTGTTTTAAAGTATGTGTGTTTTTTTTTTTTTTTTTTTTTTTTTTTTTTTTTTTTTTTTTTTTTTTTTTTTTTTTTTTTTAAGTTTGGGTGTGTTTGTGTGCGTTTGGAGGAAGTACGTGCGTGTTTGTGTTTGTTTTTTTAAGCTTGGGTGCGTTTTTGTACTTTTGCATTTATGTTAAAAGACTTTACTTGGGTTATTTGTTATTTGTAGCGAGTGTGTAGTGATGGCAGGCACACTCCTTGAGGATTTTACTTGAGAAGTGTAATTATGTGTTCTTTATAGCGGTAGCGAGGACTCTTTTTTTTTTTTTTTTTTTTTTTTTTTTTTTTTTTTTTTTAAGTTTGGGTGTGTTTGTGTGCGTTTGGAGGAAGTATGTGCGTGTTTGTGTTTGTTTTTTTAAGCTTGGGTGCGTTTTTGTACTTTTGCATTTGTGTTAAAAGACTTTACTTGGGTTATTTGTTATTTGTAGCGAGTGTGTAGTGATGGCAGGCACACTCCTTGAGGATTTTACTTGAGAAGTGTAATTATGTGTTCTTTATAGAGGTAGCGAGGACTCTTTTTTTTTTTTTTTAAGTTTGGGTGTGTTTGTGTGCGTTTGGAGGAAGTATGTGCGTGTTTGTGTTTGTTTGTTTTAAAGTATGTGTGTTTTTTTTGTTTGTTTGTTTTTTAAGTTTGGGTGTGTTTGTGTGCGTTTGGAGGAAGTATGTGCGTGTTTGTGTTTGTTTGTTTTAAAGTATGTGTGTTTTTTTTTTTTTTTTAAGTTTGGGTGTGTTTGTGTGCGTTTGGAGGAAGTATGTGTGTGTTTGTGTTTGTTTGTTTTAAAGTATGTGTGTTTTTTTTGTTTGTTTGTTTTTTAAGTTTGGGTGTGTTTGTGTGCGTTTGGAGGAAGTATGTGCGTGTTTGTGATTTTATTTTTATGTGTGGGTGTATTTGTTTGTGGTTGGGGGGGGGGGAGAAGTACGTGCGTGTTTGTGTTTGTTTTTTTAAGCTTGGGTGCGTTTTTGTACTTTTGCATTTGTGTTAAAAGACTTTACTTGGGTTATTTGTTATTTGTAGCGAGTGTGTAGTGATGGCAGGCACTCTCCTTGAGGATTTTACTTGAGAAGTGTAATTATGTGTTCTTTATAGAGGTAGCGAGGACTCTTTTTTTTTTTTTTACTCGTCCATAAGTGCACTTGATTTTTTTTCCATCGTATTTTGAGAAATTTTGAGTGTTTTTTTTAGGATTTCCAAATTCGTAACAAAAACAAAAGAAGAGATTAATACATTCGTAAAAAAATGGTTTACAGATACATAAAAAAAAGGTTTTATGATCATGTCCATGTTTTTGCTGTTGTTATTGCTATTATTTTTGTTATAATTGTTATTATTATCGTTATGACTGCTATTGTTATTGTCATTATAATTGTCACTATTATCAATATTATTACTATCATTATCATTATTATTATTATTATTATTATTATTATTATTATTATTATTATTATTATTATTATTATCATTATCATTGTTATTAATGTTGTTATTATTGTAATAGTGGGAATTGTTATTATAATTATCATCACTTTCACTTATATATATATATATATATATATATATATATATATATATATATATATATATATATATATATATATATATACATATATATATACACATATATACACATATATATATATATATATATATATATATATATATATATATATATATATATATATATATATACATATATATATAAATTATCATTATTATTTTCTCTTTCTTTTCTTTTCTTTTTCTTTCTCTTTTCTCTTTTTTCTAATTTCGTAACCTCTGTTCTTCCTCCATTTCTTATCCACTGATATCCAAATTCATTATTCACTATCAACTCTTAACTCATTCTTTTATTTTCTCCCAATTTCAGAAAGAGGAGAAAATGGACGAGAAAAAATCCTCTGGAATCAGCAACCCTGCTTTTGAGAAAGACGAAGCTGGCGGCGATGGTGAGTGTATTTGTTTCGTGTTTTTGTTCGTTTTTTTTTGGTGTTTGTGTTTGTTTAGTTGGTTTTGTCTAAGCGTGGGTGTGTTTGTGGGTGTGTGTATGTGTCTGTGTTTGTTTGGGTGCATTTGTTTGTGTTTGTGTGTGTGTGTTTTTTTAAGCGTGGTTGTGTTTGTGTATGTGTCTGTGTTTATTTTCTTGGCATGAGTGTTTGTTTGTATTTTTGGGAATTTGTGTGTGTGTTTGTGTTTCATATTGCACGCGTGTGTGTGTGCTGGGTTGTCTGTGTGTCTTTATATGTATTTATGTTTGTTTGCGTGATGTGTGTCTTTGTCCTCGCGCCAATGTATGCCTTTGAGTGTTTGTG